TTGCTTTCTTCGCTTTCTTGATTTTTTTAGTAATATAATTAGAACCGTGGTAACTCTAGAATAAGGCTCAAAATAAAGGCGCTCGCCTAAAATTTCATAGATACGTGTTTGGTTTAATACTCAAAGATACGTGTACGCGTACGCGCTTTTTGCATAAGGGGATCCGTCTCCAGCTCGGTGACCTCGGTGTTACGATTTCAAAGAGACCATTGAGTAAATAAGCAAAGTGCTAGGTTGATCAATAAGTTTTTGGAAACGTAGGATAAGTATATGTAAATTGTATTTGATTTCGAACGTAATCGCCTTTTAAGCTAAAACACCTTGAATAGCGTTTTACATGTTGGTTAATTCCTTTGGCAAAAAATGCTTGACCCTGGGACTCGAAATGGTCTCTACAGCCTCATTGTCGCCGTCGAATTTTATACTATGCAAATGCTTTTTCGGGTGAGTAAAAAAGTGAAAATCACTCGGAGCTAGGTCCGGAGACTATGGTGGATGCTGCATCAACTGAAACTATTTAAATTCAGCCACTGTACATTCCACTGTAGAATAAGACGGAGCATTAAATGCTAAAGTAGATTGTAATTCTTCAAAAACACTTTTTGTAGAAATATTTTTCAGACAGAAATATTCAATAACTGCACAAAGTTCGAGTTTCTCCATTTTGAAAACGAATCAAATTCCCCCCAAGTACGAAGTTTGAAAAACAATTTGGTATAGTCTTTAATTTAGTTTTTTTTATGAACTTGGCTACTAACGAATTTAAGATTCGAAAAAAATAGGTAACATTTTTTAAATAGAATCGGGTGACAAACGAGCACTCAGTCCACCTGATGGCAAGTGAATGATGTGGCCCACAGACCACATTTATCCTAAATTAGGAATCAAAATGCAAATACGTTGTCATCCCTGAGGGCTAAGATGGTATGCCTCGATTCCAGTAAAAAGGGTCTCCGGTTCTCTCCACTCACCATACGAAACACAGCAGAGTTAAGCTGCTATTTTACTTTGGCATTCCGTGAGAGCGTTATCCTACCCTGGTGGAGCCGCCCCATTCGTGCTACAACTATAAAATAGCTGCAACGTGGCTCTACTTGCATTTCCAAAACTCGTTGATTAGTGTCATATTTCTAAAACTTATTGATCAATCTAGTATATGCTAGAAATCAATTGACAGCACGTCTGCAATATATATATATATATATATATATATAAAAATCAATTGCTGTGCGTTAGTGTCGCTAAAACTCGAAGCCGATTTTTTTCTGTGCATTTGAGTGAGACCCTGGATTGTTGAAAAACTCATTTGGACCCGGTAGGTGGCGTTATTGTCGAGATTCAGAAATCACCCGTGCAAAGCAGGGGAGGATCGCTAGTCGCTAGTGCTTAATAAATATTAGTTCAGTAAGTTTAGTTAAATGAAACTAATTATCATAAGCGTAGATCGGACCAAAAATAAATAATATTAAAAACTAAAGGTATCCGGGCTAACTATGACATCGGGACGTCGAACAATTCAGTCCCCCCCCCCTCTCTTTTAAGCCATGGGTGCTGTAAAGCACCCGAAACGTCGGGAATTAAAAAGCTAAATTAAACGCGATAAAATCGGAGACGGAACCACACCGCACACGCACTCACACACGCTCATATAAACGCACACTCTCATGTGGACGCACACGCTGATGCACACGAATAAGTACGTTTATATAATTAAACTCCACTTCGACCACCTCATGTCTTAAAAAAATTGTTACTTAATAAAAACATGAAAGTGATATTGATATCGATCCTAAATGTCCCGAAAGAACTATTTTTATCTATTCATAAAAGTGTACACACATCAAATAAATTTAAGCCAGTTGCATTAATGTTTCTTAGAAAAGTAAAGTTTATTTATTAGTAGATGTAATCATTATCATTACAATCCATGAAAAGTCAAATATTTTTTCAAGCAAAGGAAACGTGAATACTTTTTACTGTTATTACGAGTATTATAAACCATTATTCTACGTAAAGGGGCAACGGCTATAGTAAAAATCTACTTATCTTACAATTTTAATAGTATTTTTTGCTATTTTAATAATTGTTAATAAAATTAATAAATTTATAAAAAGCTCACTCACACTTTTTGATTCATGGATTTGTTACATTCGTATCCATTTTTGTGAAAATCCTTAAAGATGAAACAGAATCGTTGCGTAATTATTATGTCATTTTAGAAATGTACATCGCAGCGACAATAGCGAATTTTAAATGCAAAGGCATGAATCAACTGAAGTGCTGGTAACGTTGGAGCCGTCGACGAAGGCACTGCAGTCGAACGTGTCAAGACGCCCGTTAGACCGCATGCGCGTCCCTCATGTTTCAAACCTGAATTTGGTATAAATATAAGTAAGTTCTACTTATACCAGTTAGGTAAGCCCTCCTTTCTTTTTTAGTGGTGCTCATTTTCTGTCATGTATCTGTCTTGTTTTAAGGGATTCACACGCAGCTATATTTTTTTTATCAATTTCTAGCTACATTTAAATCTACGTCCTTCAATAAAGTTAATTTTTGCAATCAAATATACCTAATATATTACAATCACAAAATTCTCTTTAGTTTAAGTGGTACGTAGGTATATTTATTTATTTTTGTTCATATATTACATATTGTTTTATAGTAGGTAGTTATCTGTTCATATAGCCATGTAAGGTACGTGACGGTAATACGGTCACCTTAAGCTTTGCCGCCCTATAAAACCAAGATTAAAAGGAGGACAGAGACAAAAAATACAAAGCCATATACTATAACTAATATATTAAGAAAAAAAAATAGCAAACAAGCGTTGGAAATAATTAGGTACATTTCGAAAAATCAACTTAAAGAAAACCAACTACACTACACTGGACTAAAATCGACTAAAATATTTACTATAATGTCAACTGTCAAAATGACTTTTTGACCCTTTATTATTTAATTGACTGACGAAGAGCTATCGTTTATTTGTGCAAACAAGGCTATAAGTTTTTAGTTATAAGAAAGTGACCATCACGTACTATAGTTGTTTTTTTAAAAAACAAGTAATAACTGAACTTACAGTCCACCTGATGGTATCTGACTGCTGCACACCATGGACTCGTGCAAACGACTTCTGACGAAGCTACAAATAAGTTGTAACCTCTGAGGACTAACAATATATCGACTATCGACTACACTATCGGCGACAACTCATCGCCTCGTCAGTGTCCCTATGAATACTGCCGCCGGTCCCAGTGATTCTATCTAACTCGAAGGACAATGTACAGCGTCACGCTTTCAAAAATCTTCACCTATACTAAATGTGTCAATGGAAATGAAACTCCAAATGTATGGTGGACGTCGTGCATTAGCTAAAGCGAACAAAAATCGTTAAAGTTAAAGTTACAACCTATATACGTCCCACTCCTGGGCACAGGCCTACTCTCATTTATGAGAGGGTTTTAAGGCAAGAAGTTGTCCGTTGCGCTACCCCAAAGCGTATTAGCGAACTTCACATGTCGACGAAATATTTTTTTCTTATTTCTCAGCCATGCAGATTTCCTAACGCTGTTGATATCGTAAGCCTACTTAATGGTTCGACAACACAGAATAAATAATACTCTCTGGGTAGAAAACTCTCTACATACCTCACTAATCGATAATTTTACTTGGCTCGCTATAACCTCTATCACTATCACCTATTTGGCGGCAAATACAAGTAAGGAGTTGCTACTTTTTATGTGGTAGAGCCACGCTGCAGCTATATTGTAGTGTGTATGGGACGGCTCGACCGGAGCAGGACCACGCTCTCACAGAACACCAGCGTAAAATAGCAGAGTAATGTTGCTGTTTTTTTTATAGGATAGAGTGACAAACTAGCACACAGTCCACCTGGTGGTAAGTGGTTGCTGCGGACCATGGACATCTACGTATATCCTCGTTTGCGAATCAAAATGCAGATGCGTTGTCAGCTTTGAGGACTGAGATGGAATGCCTCTTTTCCAGTAAAAAGGGTCTCCGGTTCTCTACACTCACCATTATAAACACAGCAGCACGCTGGTATTCTGTGAGAGCGTAGTCCTTCCCCGGTCAGGCCGACCCATTCGTGCTACAACTATACTAATTATGCATTACTCACTATGCTGTATTTCGTATAGTGAGTCTAGAGAACCGGATACGCTTTTTGTAGGAATCGATGCATTCCATATTAGTCATCAGGGTTGACAACGCATTTACATTTTGATTCTTAATTGAGGATAAATGTGGACGTCTATGGGCCACAGCATCTACTTACCATCTGGTGGACTGTGTGCTCGTTTGTCACTTAATGCTATAAAAAAACTTACCCAGACTCTTAGGCGCAAAAGAAGTGTTACCACCTAGTCGTGGTTGTCCTCGAAAGGATCTCTCAGATGTAAGGGTTTTCTTCACGATATTTTCTCTTGCAGCAGCAGCCAAAAGAAAATACTGCAATAAACTTGCTATTGACAATTTTATTAATAGCTGTTAGGATCAAAATCAGTATGCTTTTAACTTTAAAGCATTTTCAACATGACTTAAAAATTCGTAAAAGTAGTTTTAAGCAATGTGTAGTCTTCGCGTAAATATAAGAAATCATTACGACTTATATACGTAAATTCATATTTTACGCAGTAATTAATTTAATATACGTAGAAAAATTAGAGATGTATTGTTACAGGCCTTTATCTTGTGATTTTAATAATTTCCTCTACACCGATTTTGGTCACGGCGGCGGCCAGTCTCTATGCAATGTCATGTTCACAGTGCACAAAACAACAGAACTCTTAAATATATTTATATTAATCTATGAACAGAACACTTTACCATTATTGCTCATGACAGTGACAGCACAGAATAAAGTTCATTATTTTAATTTTATTCATAACGATAAATTTTAATGACTTACGAGGTTTATAAGACACGAATTTACAAAATCTTTTTTGATATCTTTTCCTGAAGTAATCAGAAGTCGAAGAAAAATGTTTATATACGAGTTTATGTCAGGTGTCGCCGAAACAATTACTGGAACTACTGAAAGTAAGTTTTTGAGAATTAATTTATTAAAAAAGTGCATATCATCAATTGTCATTGCATTAATATAATTATTAAACATTGTAGCCGATGAAGAAGATTTCGATCCCCATCGACATCGAGTAGTGGAAAAACCAACAACGTAAGTGAAGTCATATATAAACTAGGAGTAAAAAAAGTCTATTAGGTATTTACTAAGTATATATACATGGCCGTTAAGAGGATATAGTAAGTCAGCTCAAATTCTAATTTCGTCCCCACTTCCCCGCGCGTCGTATGCTATGTACCGACATGTTTGTAATCACTAATACTGTAAGTAGAAAGGTCGTTAGATACTTATTTCATTAAGTTTATCATATTTATGCCTGTTTCTTAACGCCAACCCAGTCGCTTCTTATTTTTTTCACGGTTATTTCCCATTTTAATTTTACGTCGTCTTGTTGCGTCATGTGTATTTTGATCGTAAGCGACACAACTTCTCCCTTCAAAAGCCTAAGCGATACTAACGGTGCGACAGGAATCAAGCTTCAGGGCGCTCATAGTTTAGGTAATTTCTTTTTACAGTGAAAATAATGGTATTTTAAAAAAAGTAAATAACATAAGCACTGCTTTATAGTTAGTTCAGTTAGTATGCAAAGTTTCATGATCTTATTAAAAGTATTTTATGAATAACAGCGGTTTATTGTTCAGTTTGGAGGTAACTTTGGATTTTTTTCTATCGAGAAAATTTTACGAAATCGTGTTTTCGTCTAACATAATCTTTAACATTAATCCTCAACTTTACCATATATTTATTTCAAAATTAATGCTACAATACTTTCGGCATAACGGAGGATCTTGCTAAGCCATTTCGGGTTATATTTCCCCTTAAAGCCCATCAAAAGTCCATTGCTGAACATAGGCCTCCGTCATAGACTGCCTCAGAGGGAATATTTGCCATTGTTGCCACACTTATCAGGCTCGTTGGCAATCGCAGTATCTGGATAAATCGCAGTATAGCAGTATATGAAAAAAAATATATATATATATATATATATATACATTATATATATATATAAAATAAGGATTAACAATTCCGAGACTATGTTTATTGGTAACAATACTTAGTATTCAGAGGTGAGAACGCATCTGCATTTTAAATCTTAATCTTCTTCTTTTTGTGTGTATTATGGTTTAAAAGCTCTGTTGGACACGGCGCTGTTTTCGAGATTTAGAAATCACCGGTGCAAAGCCGGGCGGATCGCAAGTCTAGAATAGATGTAGTGTCTATAACCTTACAGCACCCACAATCTACCAGCATCAGGTGAATTGTATGCCTGTTTGTCAGTTTTGTCACGTATGTTATATTTTGTTACTGTCTTCTGTCCAAGACTACGCTGGCATGGAAATAGAAGGGTTTTTATATAATTTTTCTTTTGGTAACTTACATTTTCGTGGTAAAAAAGTATAGAATATGTAAGTCAAATTTTATAATACTTGTGTGTCACATTTTATAACATTAAACGTCAACTTTGTATGTAATTACATTAAGGTCAAAACAGTTCTGCTGAAAGTTATCGACATCCTTACTAATTTCTTTCATTAATTTTGCGCCATTTCGGCAAGTTACGTCATTATTATTCTCAGAATATTATATTAGTTTTTAACAGTCCATAGATTTTTCTTAATTATAAGCAATTTTCTTGTACTATTTATTAATATCACCTGTTCAATTTTCCCCATTTCTTCATCCCAAAGTGCCCAACGTGCTTAAAGAAGTTTTTACTTCAAAAATCATATTTTATAACGAGATCTTGTTGCCGTTTTTATGGAAGAAAGAATCTTCATTAATCATGTTGCATGCTGGTACTTTTTTATTATTACGTTCATATTCCCGTTTTTTTGTTTCCTTCCCTAGATACTCGGAGACGATGATCCATTTGCTAAAAGGTAGTATTGGAGCTGGTGTTTTGGCGATGCCTTCGGCTGTCTATCGCGTAGGCATAATCGCAAGTATAATTGGGCTTTTATTGGTCGGTGCTTTTGCTACGTACTGCTTGCAGCTATTGGTGCGTAATCAACCAAGAAATTTATCTTTTATCTTTACCAAGGTATCTATAAAAAAATATTAGGAATGACATTGAATATTTTTTGCTTAAATTCCGCTTTTGATTACCTTCAATAACAAAAGAGGCATTTAATTCCACTATATGTTCTTTTCTCATTTATATAAACACGATATCTCTGAGGTTAGTTAGCCGATTTCGCAAGTTTTTATGTACTGATTGAGCATACTTTACAGTTCACATGTTAGTGACCTAAAAATGTTAACGAGATCCATCGATAGTTTAATTTACGAGTAGTCTTTACACTTTATTTTTTCGCCTTTGCTTTATAGTTTAATATCAAATATATTTGTAGATCGCAGCGCAGTATGAGCTATGCAAACGTAAGCGACGAGGTTATATAGCGTATCCAAAGTCCATGTTGTTCGCGGTGCGGGATGGGCCAAAAAGCCTACGTTGGTCTGCTAATACGCTATACTATTTCGTAAATGTAGTGCTCGTGATGTGGCAGCTAGGAATATGCGTTATTTATTTTGTATTCGTCGCCGAAAACATTAAACAAGTAAGGCAAATTACTTTACTATTAAGATCGCCAGTACACGCCGATGTAAACGTATCCACTACCTCATATCGATCCGTGAGCATCATAAGAGGCGATAAAGTGAAATAAACCAGGAGGTGGGCAACAGGGTCTTCCAAATAATATCTAGAAATAAAAACTACGCTTGCCAATCCACCTGTTAAACGTGGCAACTGTGGCAAATATCAGTAACGATATAAAGAAGCCGCCTTCGGTTTGGTTCGGAGGTTTAGATGCCACCTTCGACGACTCGATCTAGCAACATGTATCGCATACACCCTGATAATGTGACGACACTGCTGGTCAGTCACTTGACACGTTGCGCTGGGATATTATAGGTTAATCTGACGTCTGAAGAGAGCGGAAATCTAATGTGATCCTCGAATCCGGCTACTTGTTTTATCACCGGGCGGGTAACCACCAAGCTAACAAGCTTGTCAAGTTCACATCAAGTTAACAACCATCAAGCAACAAGGACTAATTAGGATTTATCGTTCACAACTCTCCCGTTAACAACATTGTGAAGGTTGAGAGTGTGTCAGCTGGTTGCGATCCTTAAACTCAGAATCACCAATCGTTATTCGTTGAAGAACACATAGGGTAGCGCATCAGCCTCAGCACTTTACGAAGAGGGGTGGAGGAGACGTATAAGATATCTACAGTTCTATGCGTTCCTTTCTCTAAAACTCTAAACAGTATTGATGGTAGACTTCAATGCAACACTAGGCACAAAAATGGACAGTGAGCTAAAATTAATTAAATTTCGAATAGGGTACTGGAGCTCAAAGGGTCAACAGCTGACTGACACGTGGCGAAAGAGGGCTCTATATGGTGAATTCTTTTTTCAGAAGCGGTCCCTCAGAAAGTTGTTTTAGACTGGCCCTGACGGTGACACGAAAAATGAGATTGACTTTAGAAGCCACGTTTAATGAAGTCAACGTTATATCCCCTTCGTGCTCTAATCCAAAACCCCGAAAACTTTCAGCTTGAATTACAAAACAGTTTTTAGTGCCTTAATTATTAAAATACAGTGGACGATATGAATGACTAGCTCGTAGAAACTCTTATTTAAATTCAATAAGACCAGTCGCAAGGGAACTGAAAAACTCTCTGCTTTCTCTCTTAATCACTGTTGGACGGGAAACGAAGCTGTTCTACTGTTTTCAATAGATATGTCAGTTTACGGGCAACTGATAGATCTTCAAAGGCATGTGGCGAGACAAAACTTTAATACAGTTCTTATTGAAGAATTGATTGAGCAGAACCCAGTGCTCCGAAGTCTATAATAGTAGCTTAGCAAACCATCCTATTCCTATACACTAAATCTGTATAGTCCGTTCGCGTTAAGAAAATAGTGAGTCATAAAAAAATTATTAGATGACGCAATAGCATTAATAGACGCTAATCGTTGGAAAAAGTGCTGCGACCACGTGATACGCGAAGAAAATACCATGTGGAATTTGGATGACATCATGGAACTTGCAGAAAAAAATTTGTTTCCATTAAACTTAATTAAATGTTTGAAAAAAAAAGAATTTTTACTCCACTGTGAATACATACACCTTTATCCTGTAGTTGCTCTGATGACTTACTATTTTCTTAACGCGAACGGACTATAGTTACAAATGTTAATACTTAATTCTAATATTTTTATAATGTGTGCATGTGCCGCTTATCATGACCTTTTCTTCACAGGTTTTTGATTTTTATGGCTACGAATTATCATTACGGACGCACATTTGCATTTTACTGGTGCCACTGATCATAATAAATTTGGTGAAAGACCTGAAGCTGATGACTCCACTTTCATCGATTTCGAATATTTTAACGATTTTTGGTTTGATATTGGTGTTCTTTTACTTAATAGAGGACGATTTGGTTTTAGACACGGAAAAACTAAAAATCAAAAAATTTACCGCAGTGCCTTTATTTATAGGAACAGCATTGTTTGCTCTTGAAGCCGTTGGAGTGGTTCGTAGCATGTATAAATGATCTTATATTTCAATATCATAATTTAGCTCATTGCTATATAAAGTATAATGAATTACCCACATTTAGTTGACACTCGCTAACAACTCAAAATCAGGAATTTGCATTTAGAAAAAGCCAAAATTAGGCGCTTTTTAAAAATTAGGTGTTCTTAAATTTTCACCATTTGCGTAACTTTTTACTCCATCTATTTATTGCCTCAGCCGCTACGGCTCATATAGATGCCTGCGATTTGCTACAGCGGGCGGGGGCTGCTCTCTCTCCGCGCCTACGGCTTTACAAAAAACACTCTAGGGGTAGAGCAGACAAGACTACGTGGAGTCTGGGCGTGCTGATCCAATTTAGTACAGATTCAACCCATCTTCCGATAAAGAACAAAAAATGTCGTTCATACCTTATAGTAAGGTAAAGTCCTGTACCCAATAATTCCTAGAATGTTATCGTCATCTACATCCGACCTCAATAATTTTTCAGCACTTAATTAGCACTTAATTCCTTGCTATTAATATTTATCGTATATCTATTATCGTTACTGCGTTGCTGGCGATATGTTTTGACAGCAACGCAAACTTTAACAGTTCGCTGCGGTGTCAATTTTAGAGCACCAAATTTATAAACTTTTCACCTAATTAGCACCTAAAAAGCCCCTAATTTTGGCCTTATTTCTAAATACAAATTTCTGGCTTTGCGCTGCTGGCGATACAGAACTCTCACATTTGCCGCAAGATTTGCGATCCCTAAAAATTTGATTTCGGCCCGTATTAGCAAACGGGTTGACGATTGTCATACGAGAAATCTCGCACTTATCGATTTATATTAAAAGTTACGTAATATTACATATTTTCCTAATATTATCCTCATACAGGACCAGACGAGTTGCAGCTGAGACTTCAAGTGGTATTTAAGTTTCATGATACATACTTTCAGGTCCTTGCTTTAGAATATAATATGGAGGGACCAAAACGATTCGTAGGACTTTTCGGGCTATTTAACTTAGGCATGATTATTATAATAGCGCTTTACATTATTGTGGGTGTTTTTGGTTATCTCAAATATGGGGATACCATTGAAGCAACAATCACTCTGAACTTACCGCAAGAAGAAAAGTAAGTATTCTTAAACGCTGTTAAATTATAATTTAAATGCTTTTTCTATAAATTTTCTAACAGGTCGGCCAAAATGTTTACAGAGTATATTAATGGAGTAGCATATTAATAATTTATTAGCTCCCCAATTTTTTTAAAAGTAAGGACCCTTACATACTCACATTAACATTGTTTGGAAAATAACAAAACCTTCCAAAAAAAACTACTAAATATACGACACACAATGAATGAAATGGAGTGTTTGATGTTTAGCATGTTTCCCTGCATTAAGCAGGAAGCAAATATTGCCGATCATGTTCAACAGTAATGGTTCTTGGCGGAGACTTGGCAAACAATGCGTTGCAGCGTAAAAGCTTCTACCATACGTACTTATATATTCTGTAAGCATTTATGGCAAAATGAAATGGTGAAGTATAACACAACCCATGGTAAGCACCATGTAGTGGCGGTCTAAAAATATCCACTACCTTAAATCGACCTGCGCGTGTCGCAAGAGGCGATAAAGTGAAACAAACCAGGATATGGGCAGTAGGGTCTTCCTACCTATATGGAAAGCAATAAACTGTGAAATTACGACTCTTTTAAGGCAATCCTTAGAGCTTATTTTATAGGTATATTATCTGCAGTGGACTTTTGATAGACTCTTAGAGTAACGATAAACAGTCTTTATAAAAGTGCGAGTGTATTAAGTTTGGCCCTTGCGAAAGCGCGACACGTATTCATATCATCAGGCATTCTTCACCCACACACTACCTTGTTCGCCCATTGCCTATGGTTTGATATGAACGCAATACGGTAGTTACTAGTACATATATATTAATCGCCAGCGTTTTCAGATACTATGAGTTTATAAATACATGGTTTGGACATTTACTACACACATTTAATACACAAACCCTGTGTAAGTGGCCAACTAATTGTTTACTAATGCGAACGATTTATACGCAACAAAGCTGCAGACCGTCCAAACAAATGTTTGATCACTGTGCACCTATGGATCTATCATTGAATTCTTTTTTTTTTCGTAGTTCTGGTATAAACTTGGTAATAGCGATTGAACTTAATTTCGTCTCAACTTTGAACTCTTAATTATGTGGCTTATTCGCTGATATTTAATAAACAACAAAATATTATGTTCTAATGGTAAATTATATACACAATAATATTTCAGAAAGGCACAAGCAGCAAAAATAATATTTGCATTGGCAATTTTCTTGACCTTCCCGCTGCAGAACTACGTCGCTTACAGCATGGTGTGGCGAAAATTTCAGAAAAGGATTCCAGAGAAACGACGCCTCTTACCTGACTACGCGCTACGTGTGGCACTTGTCGTTATACCCTGTAACAATTGAATACGTGTAAATTATTAACATAGTTTTTAAAGAATCATTTATACAACAATCACTTATACGACAAACGACCTAAAATCCAGTGTGACGGTATGTACATTTTGTAGGTAATGTAATATTTCCCAGGACTAAAGTGGAATGTCTCACAACACGTAATTATTCATCTTTTCTACTCTTATAGCAGAAAGTAGTCATTACCACATACTACCTAGTGCACAAAATGTTCAATTTTTTTTTCGTGGATCACATTCTCATAAATACAGTGGAGAACTAATTAACTATGAATGACTATGGGTGCGTTTGGCAGAAAAATGCGCTAGGAAGCGCTTCTAAGCAAAATGGCGATCATAAGCGATAAGCGCTGTCAAGTCGTAAGTAGCTATTTTCCTCTAGGACACGAAGTCAGTTTTAACCAGGGAAGCTAACCTAATTTAAATATATGTTTGTAAAGTATTCATATTAAAAACTTACCAATCATGAATTTTTAATAACATCTATAATATGTCTATTCACGTTATTACTTAAAACTAATATTGCACAAAAAAACTTATAAACTCTACTTCAAAACAACAAATTAAACAAGCAAAATGGCGGATTGTGTCAGCGCTACTGAAGTAGCAATCGTGTTCTGGCCGAAAACTATTTCAGCGCTTGTAAGCGCTTGCTAGCGCTTTTTCTGCCAAACGCACCCTATGACTTAAGTTACTAATGATTATTAAAGTGTCAAAGCAACTGTCACTTTTTATTTGCCGTCCAGTTTATGTGAATTCTTGGAAAGGATGTTTTTTTAAAGAATAGTGGCAAAGTAAAATTCAACCAAACGGAAACCATCGGGTGAGAAGATCATACGGCCGAGGGCCGGGCAAACCATTATTTCACATTTTATTACGAATAACGTTGTCAAACGGACACATGTTCCACCTGATCGTAACTTGATGCTGTGGCCCGTAGTACAACTACTTTTATTCTCGATTTAAGATAGAAATGTAAATGCATTACCATCCTCAGTTACAAGTAAAAAGGTTTAACCAGTTTTTGGTTACCACCTTACGGAACACAGAAGTATTTATATGCTCCTAATTTACCGTATATATATGTGAGTGTAGATCCATTTTTATTGTAAAAAAAAGTAAAGTAAAGTTACAGCCTATATACGTCCCACTGCTGGGCTCAGGCCTCCCCTCATTTCTGAGATGGTTTAGGGCAAGGAAGTGTCCGCCGCGCTGCCCAAATGCGTGTTGACGAACTTCACATGTCTTCGAAATATTTTTTTCTTATTCCTCAGACATGCAGGTTTCCTCACAATGTTTTCCTTCACCGCCGAGCACGTGGTAAATCAGCACTTAAAATTGCAATTAACAATTTCATTGGTGCCGGCGGGGATCGAACCCGGGTTACTCGCGTTCTGTTATATTTACAGCGAGCGTTAACCACTGAGCTACCACGGCTCATTTTTATTGTGCCGTCATAAAACTGCCGATAGTCAAAGTCATAAACAGTGATAACTTTTGTGTTTGTCGAGCGTTTGGTAATAATAATGTCATTCAGACCGAATTTCGGTCATCGTGAAGGGTTAGCTACCACAGATTTTCTTTTTCTAGAAATACGCTGCTTCTCATCTCCTAGTTGGATTCCCTCTGTTACCTCTTACGCCATCCACGGGATTAAATTGAGTAGAAAAGTTGAGAACGAATAGTAATCAGGTAATCAGTATCAACAATAATTACCTGAAATGCAGCAGCACGTTAACACAGCTTGGCATATAAATGTCACTCGAATTGATATAAACGTGTATTTTATAGGGATACTTGCAGTGGCTGTACCTCACCTGGGACCATTTATTTCATTGTTTGGAGCATTTTGCCTGTCCCTGCTGGCAATGATCTTTCCGGGGTTAATGGATCTGTGTTTATGGTATCCTAATCTCTATGGGTTGTGCCATTATAAATTAGTACGTGACATTTTTATTATACTAATTGGTGTAGCATGTCTCATGGCTGGCTGCTACACCAGTGTGATGGAAATCATAGAATCGTGACTTTTTGTAAAGACGGTATATGATACCTGATAATTAACATTGTGATTTTGCTGTGATAATAAAAATATTTATATAGCTTATTTTTTATTTCTCGGTGTTTATCAATCCTGTGACTACCATTATATAAGTAAATCAAAAAAGGAAAACGCTACCGGAGCTACAACCTATTATATCCACTTTTCAATATCTTAACAAATATTCGGTGTACCGATAAACCATAGTTCTGAAGATTTAGGTTTTGAGCTCTTAAGTTTTCTAAATATCGTTATCAACACGATTAAGAAATGTACTTTTAGTTTTTTTTTTTTTTATAAAGGATATGGTGACAAACGAGCACACAGTCCACTTGATGGTAAGTGGTTTCTGTGGCCCATAGACATCTGCATCTATCCTCGATTACGAATCAAAATGCAGATACGTTGTCACCCATGAGGACTTAGATGGAATGCCTCTTTTCCAGTAAAAAGGGTCTCCGGTTTTCTACAAACACCACACGAAACACAGCAACATTAAACTACTATTTGACGCTGGTCTTAACTGAGAGCGTGGTCCTTCCCCGGTCGAACCGACCCATTGGTGCTATAACTATACTACTAATATAGCCGCAGCAAGGCTCTACCACGTAAAAAAAGTTCCTAAACTTCGGATAATTTAGAAATTAAATTCATACATGTGATAAAAACTCACTTTGACTAGTTCCTTTCCCCTTTTCATCTGCAGATAGAAGAACCTTATTTTGGAACCCTTTGTTGCCGATATTCCAGGCAATTAAATCGAAATTAAGTCTCACTTCTTTTAAGATAAAGTCACACGGCCAAAGTCAATAAATTAATAAAGAAATGTTTTTATTTTTTATTTTTGTACCATCCGATATCCATCGAATTAACCTAAATGATTGTATTTATTGGCAATAAATTACTACCCTTTTTATTCAGTTAAATTCGTAAACCGTACCTTATTTTTTGTCTCTAGTAGTAAAACATATGACTATGATATAGCAAATAAAAATTACCTATACATTTTTCTAAAGTTAAAATGTGGAGTAAAGATTGAAGCTGTCTCTTTTTTGCCAAACAATATTATAGAAGGTACATTTTATAACTGAATATTTTATCTCGCTCAGCAGTACGGTACGAGTACGAGCTTGCTGTTTATTTTATTATTGTGTTTAGTTGATAGGTTCTACTCGTTCATCACGTACTCGCAGGTACGGCAAAACCAAAAGAGTTAGCTGTTTTATTTAATATACCAAAGTTAAGAGCCCTCTTACATTTCAGCGTTACGCAAATTTAGGTATTTTACACTCCGAGCGGGCGATGACCTACACGGGCGATACTTTTTTCATATCTCTATTCTTCTCTTCGACTAGCGTTGTCGCTGTCGTTCACTACAACTTTCTAAAATCTGGCCAAACGATTACGGCAGATATCTATTTTTAACAACTGCAAACCATGAAGGTAGAACTAGCTGCTAAACAACCGAGATTGGACAATCGCTCTAGGCCACTGCTGCTTGACGACAACGCAAGACCACACACTGCACGACAAACAACCACTAAGCACATGAGCTGCAATTGGAATTTCTGTGACATCCACCGTACTCCCCGGACCTTGCTCCAACAGATTACCATTTTTTCCGGAATTTGGACAACTTCTTACAAGGAAAAAAATTCAACTCCGATGCGGCAGTCCAAACCGCCTTTAAAGAGTTTATTGATTCTCGCCCCCATGGATTTTTCAGTAACGGGATCAATGAACTACCGATGAGATGGTAAAAGTGCATAGATAATAACGGTGCATACTTTGATTAATTAAATATGTTTTACAAAAAAAATTGATTTTATATTCCTCCCGCATAAAACGCCAATTTCATATGTGAGGACCTATTACTATATTGCCACAAAGTGACATTACTTGGGGGAGGCCTATGTTCAGCAGTGGACTTGTGAAGGGCTGTAATGATGATGATGATTACTATATTTTTGTTTTAATGAGTTAAAAGACTGCTATATAGACACTGCAGTTTGATATATTAATAAAAAATGTTATATTACGTTTAGTTTTTGTTGTAACATTTTGCCCCTTATAGTGTAACAACCAGCTCCTGGCGCGGGGCTAAAAGTTACAGTCTTTTGCAAGAATTCATTCATTTATGTCACTTCTAATAGTCTGGTATCCAAAAGTATTTTAAATTAATAACCCAAATAATTACTTAATCATACAAACCTACATTCCGGTAAAACAATAAATCGCGACAGTTTATTAAAAAAATGTCACAACCAGCCCAAGTCTCCTCTACACGTAGACAGAGAAACCTATAGACTAATGATTAGCGTGGCCTCGAGTGAGAAAGGACGATAACGTAGTTGTAGGTTATACAATAATCTTTATGACTTTTAAACATATTTAGATAAAATTTTTAATTGTTCTAAGGACTGATCTGAACAAGATTCACCAATCTTAAGCTCACAAAACACTTTTTTCTCACTTAAACCGACTTGTAAACTCCTTAGATCGCTACGAACTGTCAAAGTTGTTTAGCAAAGTGTAGTTTGCTAAACAAAAACCGGCACGGAGAAAGGGACAAACAATCACACCGCTCTGTCTCATTTCTATGCAAGACATATGCATAAATCTATCTTTATCGTGTTCGAATGCGAAATAAGGCGTCAATTTGTCTAAATTACAGATTATTATGATTTACTAAAGACATAAAATTCAACCTCTAAGAAAAAAGAATACATTATTATCACTACATTTATTTTATGAAGTCAACGTCTTGATGCCTCTTTTTGACATCTATCATATTACTTCACTAGGGTTTTATAATAATTCTAAATTCGTGTGGTTCTCGACAAAGAAAAATTTTGTAATGTTTAAAGATATATACTCATTTAAGTCAACTTATGCAATAACAAGTGCCGATTCTCAGTAAGTTTAAAAAAGGTACTTTTATAAACGAAAGT